GAGTATGAAGTCTTAGTTAGGTCTTGGTTAGCGATTAGGAGATTTATGAGTAAATGTTGTTAATAACAATTTTCTGAGACGTGGTTCGAATAAAAGAGAATCGATAGATCTGCCTCTAACACGATCATCGTTGTAATTGGATTCGCTTGGTGATCCCACTTCATTCCACTCGAACCCGTGTGTCGAATTACACTCCATTACGGAATATTACCTCTTGGCCAATTATCTGTTTATCGATATTCCAGGCTCCGGGTAAGATCGATCGTTGCGTCGACCCACCTTTGTGTGAATTTGATATCCGTTAAGAGGCCGCCGATAATTAACCGATCACCCGGTGACTTTCTAATATGCGATATTTAATTTTTTACAGTAATATCATCATCTCAGCGGAAAAGTGGGGAAAATGGAAAGAGTGAATGGCATTTCGTGGGCAATCGGATACCTACGCGCACAAGTACAGAGGTGTTAGATTATATAATTAGAAGGGGGAAAGGTCAAAATTGAAGATGAAGGAATTGAAGTGTGAGTAAATGTTTTATTTAAAAACATCTTACTTATTATGAATATCCTATTATGCAATAATACAATAATCTTACCATGGGATTACTGTATCTTGATTTGTTCGACTAGTAAAAAGTTGATCAATTAATTTGTGCGATCAATAAAAAGTTGATCCATTAATTTGAGCGATTAATAAAAAGTTGATCAATTAATTTGAGTGATCAATAAAAAGTTCAAATTCACAATTTTTCGCTTATTATCCGACAATCTACTACTTACACTGTGTCCTTGACGAAAACTGCGAAGATTGACTCGTTCCGCCATATTGGCCGTGTGCACGACGCCGTTTTATCGGGTTTCAATAGGCGTCGCACGGTGCACGGGGCCGTCGATTTACAGCGTATGTACAAACTATTAATTCGATATGCCTCGCCGGGGAATATCGATACAAAGTTGTTTCGATATTCTACGGTTCGTATCGAATTATGCCGAGGTAGCAGTTTGCTCTTTGCTTAACAGTAAACCGTAATGTACACGATCGATAGTCGACGTTCGGTTCTTCATTTAATCCTTTTACGACGGCAACCAAGTTACGACTGTTAGTTCGAGTGACAATCTGTCAAGTGGCGAAGCTAATTTCACGATTTGTCCACTAACCCTTTGCGGATGACAATTTTTTAAACTTCTGAAAACACCTTCGATACAAAGCTGAATTGATCAGCGATCTCTTAAATATTAGTACAGAAAAAACCATATATCAATCTCTCGTTATTAAAATAATTAAATTCTTCATTCGTAACTTTCTTTTAAATTCTTTTAACTTTTTTAAAAATTCTTATTCCATTTTATTTTCTCTTGGATTGTAATTACGGTACTCGGAATATTTATTCATTTATTAGACATCTTACTATTTATTCGTCTCGTTATTCTCCGAAAACTAATTCAAACCACTATTAACCACTACTAATCACTCCGAAATTTCATCGCTAAACATTTTTTACTAATAAAAGCTTCATACTAAGAAACGTCGAAACCGGAGTAAAAAATAAAAATCAAATAACACGAAAAAGGTTATAATTCCAAGTAAAAGTTACCAAAGTTGAAATTATAAATGATTAAAATTTCAAACGGTTGAAACTTCAAAAGCTTCAAACGTCAAATGATCCGGATTTCAAACCGTCGAAACTTCAAACTGTTAAATCACCAAATGCTCGAGATTCCAAATAAAATCAAAGAGACAAAAATGATTTCAATCTACACTCGCCGTCAAGTATCTGTTCATTATTACGGAACCAACAGCCTAAGAAAACAAACATCTTCGAATCCCGAATAGAAACGCAGCCGCAACGAAAGACAACAACACGTGTAAGTACCACGTACGTGTAAGTACACATCGTTGTAACCGCACACTGAAAACATCATCGTCGTCGGCCGTGTACGCGTGCACACGAATCGCGGCGACATTTATCGTTGTATACACTGCATATATTTACACGCCGCCTCCCGTCCGGCCTCAGTCGTTCCTGTTGATTCGAAGTATCGCGCCACGGCCATTTATCAAACGATCATCGGACGGAGAGCGATTAGAAATAATAAAGGCGTCGTGTCCGCTCGCCGGCGCGAGCGCGCAACCGCGCGACCGCGGGGCTCATTGCACTCCCCTCGCGCTGCGGCTGATTTGCCCGACAAATATTCTTTTTAATATTTAAAGATCCTCTCGTACAACCGTTTCGTGCAAATACTCCGACCGGCAGTGTAAATATGTACCAAATATACACCAGCGGAATGTACAAATGCCGACGGTCTAAACGCTTTCACGGACAAAATCTACGCCGATTAGCCGTCCCTTTTACTTTCGCGCCGGTTACGCGCGAAATCTTCAGCGTCCTTCGGTGACTGTTCTCTCGATTTGCTCGTCGGCTGGAAAGAGTTTTGAGAATATATGTTTCAGAAGGGAAGAGTAGATAATAGAATGTTGTAGTAGGTGTGTTTGTTTTGGTTGGAGATGAGCTTTATCCGTTTGTAGCTCGAAGGAGTTTCTGAAAGTGATTAAACGTGGAGTTTGATGTGATTTGATGTAGTTGGATTAGGTGTGATTGGAATTGGCTTTTTATGGTGCTTGTAGTAACGTTATAGTAGAGTATAATGCAAATGGTAGTATGACAGAATACAATGCAACTACAATATAATACAATTCAAATGTAACATAATGCAATAGAATATTATATAATTGTTAAATGGTATAATACAATATTATACAAATGCAAGATAGATAATAGAATATAATGTAATATAAATACAAAATATAATACAAAGCAATATAAATGCAATGTAATACAATACAATATTATACAAATGCAATGTAATGCAATACAATATAATTGCAACATAAAATAATACTCTAAATGAAGTAAAAAGAAACTTAATACAATTATTTATATACTAATACAAGTTTCTTTTCTATCTAAAATTACAAGCAAAAATGAATTGATTAGGTCGCGATTGCACCTATTTTCCTTACCATAATGGCGGCCGAACGACGCGTAACGTGACGGTAGCCATCGTGGTCGGCGAACGGTGTGATTGCGGGACGAGCCTCGCAAATTTGAAGCGAAGCTGCCGCGATAACGAATCCGGTCGGGCTTGAACGCGTGTTAATCGTATTAGCACGACATCGTCGATAAATCAGACAATTAGCGGCCATAAGCGCATCGTAAATCGGCATTATCAGAATCGGCTAATGCATTTTGATGCCGGCTATTTGCTTGGTAACGCGTTGCGGCCGGCCCGGCATATATGTTTACCAGTCTTACGATCGCTGGAACGTCACCTGTTTGTTCTGTCAACTAGGAGGCCGCCGGACGGCCCGCTCGGACCGACGTTTATAATCAAGTTCAAGTAAAACGCGCGTTTCGACCGTTCGTTTTCCGTGAACGCCAATCGACCGACTCGATTCTTCGACGTAACGCGTGACTCTGAAAATCGATTTGAGCTTTCATTTGCTTTCCATCTTTCATAACATACGATCCTCTTGTTTGTTATCCCTTCCGTCGAGGTCTGTATAATTACAGCTCAGCTTGTGTATTCAGTTTATTAATAAATTATTTCTTTGACGACATCTGAGCGATGCTAAAATAGATACTTACATTTCGGAGAACAATTATAATTTCACGAACAAATACAACAAAAATTCGTAGCAATTCCTATTTGTTGAAATGATACTCTATTGTCAAGTTTTAATACAGGCGTTCAAAAGATTGAAACTCCTTTTCCGAAAAACCAAACGGAAACATCACAAATTCTAGATCTCAACATTCGCGTCGGATACATCAATTTCAACTACATAGATTCTTCACTTAATTTCTATTAAATCTCCAATTCACATTGAACGTACAAGTTCCCCAAAACCACACCCTAAAGCCTAAAAAACAATCTACAAGAATCCAGCCTCCTTTTCTCCATTCTTTATCCACGTCTTTCTTCTTTGAGAGCAACATGTATCATAAAACCAGACTCAAATTCGTCACCTGTCGTGATCGCAAGTTTCAACGTGTAAACGACCCAATTTGACTGACATCGACTTTTATAAACATTGTTCGGTAAATGTTTTGATCGATTTTCATTGACGCAACACAAATCTGTATCTCAAAGTCTAAGTGAACGAATATCCGTTCCTCTGAAACTGATAGAACAAACTGTACAGCAAATGTCCGTGAGTCTAGTGTTAAGAGGGATTCCCGTTGCCCTTATCTACATAAATCGCAGTTCTCAGGTTTCGCGCAGGTCGGGGGGGAATTAATTTCAATTAGATTATTGCGATGCGGAGGGGAAGAAATCACGGCGTCGCGTCTCGCCCCGGGAACAATGCCGTATCGCTGCTCTCTCGAGCCGCAACAATGCGAACAATGGGCCAGTCACGTGGCGCGGCTGCCGGTTAATATCGCCGCGATAAAGGAGCCGGCGATGTTTTACAAACAGCTCCACGCCACGTGCTGCCCACCCCCTGTCAAAACATTCGGGAACGTCGGCGCCCCCGTTTTTTCTTCGGGGAAGGGGGGGCGGCAGCCTCCAACCTGATCAACCCCCTTTTCACGGGCTTCTTCTTCTCAACTGCGCGCGTGCTCGCCCACACGTGGACCACCACGTGAATTTTCCGTGGGGAGACGCGGATCGCTGGCCAAATCCGTTTGAACCCCGGGACGAGTTAACTCGTCGCTTCGCAGCTTCATTGAAATCTACACGGATTACCCGCTGCTAGAGGTCTTTACGAATATCGAAGGGTGATCATGTTGGGTCCTGTCTCTGGGAAGACTGTGAACGGT